ACGGAGCGATCGGCACCCCCCACGTTCACCGAACCGATGGATATAGACAAATACGAGGCGAAGCAGCAGCCGACAAAATGCGAATTTTGCGGCACAGCAGGACATCAGTTTTTGTCGTGCTACAAAATGAAGAAAGCATGTGCGGCACTCCGGGACGGAAGCAGTGGAGCACCCCCAACGTCAAAAATTGGGAATCGCCAGTAGCCGCGGATCGACCTGGCGATCGCGTAAAGATCCGAAAAGCAGGAAAAGGCGACGACGTGGCGACTTCGGAGCGGGTGAAAAAAGGAGAAAATGATGGCGCGAATTTAAAACGTCACGACCGGCTGGCATCAGGGGAAATCGCCGAGGCGAATGGAGGCTCCGCGAAAAAAGACTCTGCACCGACCGGGAAACTCCAGCCGAACACCCACGAAAGTAAGAATTCGTTAAAAGTATCCTATAAAGATGCTCTAACGAAGAATATTGCTTCTCGTGGTTTACAAGCCTTCAAAAAATTCAGGGGAGGTCTAGAGGCCAAGAAAAAGCCTTTAGAAATTATTCAGGTACCTGAGAAGTTGGGCAAAATACTACGGAGCGTAGAGAAGGGTCGTGCGTTCCGTGGAATTAATATTCTCTCCCCGCAGCACAGTGTTAAGGCTCCCCGTCGCCCACAGGTGAAGCCTACACAGCTGCCAAGGCTTAGAGGAGACATCCAGGCTCATGAAAAATTATACAAGCCTCGGAAAAATCCTCTGTCAGAATATTATCTTATTGTTCTAGCCTGTAGTGGGGTGCTCTATAGCGAGTACAACCCTTCTAGGGTTTGCTATTTGTATCCTCATTCTTGCTAGTTCAATCCTCTTTCTTCCTTCAAACTTTGACATCCTCCTACCCCCCAGGTGAAGTTGGAAAGCGCTGAGTCAGGTATAGGAAAAAGGGAAGGTATTAAGTTTGATGTACCCTATGATCCTATTAACAAGACCCTCTTTGGCTACTCAGCACAGCAGAAACCACTACTCCTCGAGGTGTTATGCAATGGGCGACGCCTCCAGGCACTGGTGGACAGCGATGCATCTCACTCGGTGTGTGACCGCGGAGCATTGGAGAAAATTGGAGAGAAGGCGGAAGAGACCCAGTTTTCAGCAACCATGGTGGACGGTACGAAGCTTCCTATCCACGGCGAAGCATCACTGCAACTGCATATAGGTGCGTTGAGGTGGAAGCCGAAGCTACCAGTCACCAACATCAAAGGATTAGATTTTATCTTGGGGCGAGATTTCCTGAAGCGGTTCAACCCCGAGATCGATTGGGTCAATAGCAAGGTGTGCATCTACAACAATGGGAAGCGGATAGCAGTGCGAAGCTGGACGGATACAGGGGACGTACCTGAAACGACACTGGCACGGTTCGAACAGACGATGAACAAGAGTAACACGGGTAACCTAGCACTGGTTATGGCAGCAGCAGAGGAGGAGAAGCCGAGTTCCGAGCTACCTGCAGCAGTGAAAGAGGTCTTGGAGCAGTACAAGGATATAATGCCCGACGACCTACCTGCAGGCGTACCTCCAGCACGCACCCACGAGCACGAGATCGTGGAGGAACCAGGTGCGAAACCCGTCTCACGTGCACCATACCGACTGAGTCCGACTGAACTGACAGACATGAAAAAACAGATAGAGTATCTACTGGACAGACAACTGATCCGCCCATCCACCTCTCCCTACGGCGCACCAGTTCTCTTCACTCCAAAACCAGACGGCAGTCTACGGATGTGCATCGACTACCGCGCACTGAACAAACAGACAGTATAAAACAAATATCCCATACCGCGCATAGACGTCCTACTCGATCAACTGCGTGGAGCAATAGTATTTTCGAAGCTGGACCTACGATCGGGCTACTGGCAGATCAAGATGGCAGACAACTCCGTCCAGAAGACAGCGTTCCGTACCAGATACGGCTCCTACGAATACTTGGTGATGCCGTTCGGACTGTGCAATGCACCAGCAACGTTTCAGGCGGAGATGAATCACATCTTACGACCCCTGCTGGACGAGTGCGTGGTGGTGTACCTGGACGACATTCTCATCTACTCCAAGAACATGAAGGAGCACGTGGAGCATCTGCAGAAGGTGTTCGAGATCCTGCGGAAAAACAAGATCTACGTGAAGCTGTCAAAGAGCAACTTCGCCCTGAAGAAGGTGTAGTTTCTCGGGCACATGGTGAGTGCCGAGGGCGTACACGTGGACCCACGGAAGATCGAAGCCGTCAAGAAGTGGAAAGTACCAGAGAACGTGAAGGAGTTGCAGCAGTTCCTAGGCTTTGCCAACTACTACAACAGGTTCGTGCCGCAGTACGCTAAGATAGCAGCGCCACTAACCGACCTACTGAAAAAGGATACGCCCTACAAATGGGATACCCTTCATCAGCAAGCCATGGAGCAGCTACAGACAGCACTGACTACAGCGCCAGTACTCATCTTGCCGGATCCAGACAAGGACTACGTGGTGGAAGCAGACGCTAGTGACCAAGCAGTCGGAGCAGTACTGATGCAGGATCACGGACGCGGTTTGCAGCCCATCGCCTACCTCAGTAAGAAGCTACACGAAGCAGAACTAAACTACCCCATTCACGACAAGGAAGCCTTAGCGATAGTCATAGCCTTCAAGACTACAGTCTATACTGGCCACTACAGTCTCAAATACCTGAAGTCACAGCCAACACTCTCACGACGACAGGTGCGGTGGGTGGACTTCCTGGAAACTCACTTCCACTACGACATCGTCTACAAGCCCGGGCTACACAACAAGGCAGACGCGTTGAGCCGCCCCGGACATGTAGCAGGCATCTTGCTCGATGGGATGAACCCTCTGCTCAAGGGTCTATTCCAACATGGGTACTCCGTGGACGCAGAGATTGCTACAGCACAGACCAAGAAGCTATTACAGTGGGAGAAAGACTTAGCTGTAAGGAAGGGTTCAGGAAAGATTTGGGTACCGAATTACGCCCCGCTACGGCAGATCCTATTGGAGGAGTTTCACGACGTACCTTACGCGGGACATTTTGGGAGCAACAAGACGTTAGCAGCGATAGCGAAGTATTACTACTGGCCCGGGATGGCAGCAGACGTGCAGCAGTTCGTCACCTCTTGCGACACGTGCCAGCGGATGAAGAGCAGCAAGCAGAAAAAAGCAGGGTTACTTCAGCCTCTACCCGTACCGGAGCAGCCATGGCAGGTCGTTAGCCTCGACTTCATCACAGGGCTTCCTTCAACCTCACGGGGACATGATTCCATCCTCGTGGTGATCGATAAGTTCTCCAAAATGGGTCACTTCATACCGACCAACGCCACAGCTACAGCTGAAGCAACTGCTCGACTCTTCTTCGACCGCATCATCACCATCCACGGCATCCCCGCTACACTCATCTCAGACAGAGACCCCAAATTCACCAGTAAGTTCTGGAAGGAGCTCATGGAACTGTTGGGGACAAAGCTTGCAATGTCTTCAGCATACCACCCCAAGACTGATGGACAGACAGAGCGACTCAATCAAGTGGTTGAACAGTTACTGCGCACAGCTTGCAAGGACGACGTCAGCCACTGGGACACACAGTTACCAGCCCTAGAGTTCGCTTACAACAACGCATCACATGCGGCCACAGGGAAAACTCCTTACTTCCTGTGTTACGGACGGGAACCACTCACACCACAGCAGCCAACTACACCGGCACACGTCCAAGCCGCACATGACTTCGTCACCACCATGCAGCAGCTATGGGAGAAGACTCAGCGACGTCTCACCACGATGCAGAACTCCCAGAAGCAGTATGCCGATCGTCAGCGACGTGATCACTCAGTAGCAGTCGGAGATCAGGTGCTTCTTGACACGCGCAACTTGAACCTGTCTCACCTCCCATCCAAACTCCGGCCTCGCTTCTGTGGTCCTTTTCTCGTTGAGGCACAGGTGACACCAGTTACATTCCGCTTGCGCTTACCAGATACATGGAAGCTTCACAACGCTTTCCATGTCCAGCTACTGAAGCCCTACAAGGACCCCAACCAACCATTCCAGGGACGGCAACTACCGCCACCACCACCTGTTCTCATACAGGATGAACCCGAGTACGAGATCGAGCGCGTTCTCTCTCATCGGCGCCGCGGTGGCAAGACTCTCGAGTTCCTGATACGCTGGAAGGGATACGACCCCACTGAGGACAGTTGGGTTGCAGAAGCTGATATGGGCAACGCACGCCGTGCTCTCAAGGACTATCTTGTCAAGCAGGGTGTATCTCACGCCACCCAGCTTTGAGGGGGGGACGTGTGAGAGTACGACGGCTTATGCCAGCTATGCTTGCTTGCCTCTACTTTATCATGCTATTTCTAGCATAGGATAATGATATGCATGCATGAATTGCTTGATTTCCTAGGCTAGGTGCTTTCCTATATTTTATTATAGTTATAGCACCGAGCTAGGTTGCGTGCACCGAATTCTGGCTTTTCGGTTGCCACCGAATTGCCTTCTACCGAATTCGGTAAGGATCTGTTCGGGACGCTTCGCGACCCGCGGAACCTTCACGTAACACCTGGTTACGGGGCCTTGTGTTGAGCCTATATATAGCCTCGTGTTGTACCCAGGTGGACATTCAATTCAATTCAATTCGAATCATCTTTTCTGAGCTCGATCCCAGATCCTCACAGCTGTGCAGACCTGGCTGTCCAAGGAGGTGCTGCCCCATCTGAACCCCTAGCGCGGCCAGAACGCAAGGCGGGCGATGCTGGTGTTGGACTCCTACCGCGGTCACATCACCCAGACCATGCTTCAGTCGTACCGCACGCACACCATCACCCCTGCAGTCATCCCAGCGGGTTGTACGAGCCAGATTCAACCCCTGGACGTCTCCATCAACCGGTGCTTCAAGGCTGCTGTGCGAGCGCGCTACGCCAGGTGGTTCATGCGTGAAGGGATTCACTTGAAGACGAAGAAGGGTGAGTTGGTCCTTCATTTACGGTTTTATTCATGTTCTGTTTCGTGTCCTTGTCTTAAACATGCTCCTTCATATTCGTGTCTCTTACATCTCGCTGCCCCGTCCTCTGTCCCACCCGCAGGGAACCTGCGGAGGCCTTCGCACCCCGTGGTGCTGCAGTGGATCGCGGAGGCTTGGGATCAAGTCCCCAAGCAGATCATCATCGACGCGTTCCGCCACTGTGGGATCTCGAGCAAGCTGGACGGAACAGAGAACCACCTGGTGATGTCTCACCTGCGCGCCAGGAGCACCACCGATGTCTCCGCGGACATGTCTCTCGGGGGGACCACAGGCGACAACACGCGCCTGCTCGGTCGGGCTCCAGAGGAGGAGGAGGAGGAGGAGGCGATGCAGGCGGAGGGCGTGCGGGAGGTGGCCGTGGCAACCGGCCTGGAGGTGCTGTACCAGGAGACCCCCAACTACCGCGGAGCGGCACCCGAGGCTGGCCGCATGATCAAGCCTAGGGAGACGGCTAGGCATGCCTGGCGAGTGCTAGACCTGGGTGTAGAGCCTGATGTTAGTGCAGGTGAGGAGGCGGTGACGGAGGGGGGTTAGGTAGAAGTAGAGATTCATGACTGTATGCATGTACCCCCCTAAAGTAGGAATGCTAGCTAAGAAGACACCCCCTGTTTATAAGAAAACCCCTAAACCCTGGTTCTGATTATAAGACATATATGTCTTAACTCGTACATACAAATAGGTGTCGTATAAAAAGGCTAGCTTGTTTATAAGAGACACCCGTATAGTAGACAACCCCTGCCTACTATTCAACACTGTCTTATATCCGGGCGATGACGGTAGTTTGTCAAACCAGACTGTAAGGAATTTTCTCGGCATTCCTTACGGAGTCCGACTACATCATGTACACCATCAGCCGTTGTTCGCCCGTTACTGCTAATGGGGCTTCGCCAACTTCGCGCGCACTGTTTTGCCAAACCTCGCACTGCTGGCCCGGCTGTGTCGGCCTACGCTTCGGGGCTGGCCCGAGCCTTGCTGCCAGCATAGCACTAGCTATGTTCTGAGTTGTACTACGGTAAGAAGAGTGCGCGGAAGACTTTATAAAAAGGATGAGAATTACAGAATGACGAGAATGATCAAGAGGCATGCATTTATAGGGTCGAAACTGTGGTAGGCGAGGACCTAGGGACGTGCGAGGCTTGGAAGTGTCGTGATTGGTGCGGGGCGACTCGGCGCTAGATCGGTACGAAAGTGTAGGCCGAGCCCAACTGACGCGAACAGTTCGGGCTGTCCTCGCTAGGAGCAGCCTCTACAATAATGAATTCACATTCATTACAAGCTAGCTCGCACGCACCGCGTTACCGTTTGCACGGAAGTTTCGCGCGCTTAACCCAGCGCCGCTGCAACTCCGCCGTTTCACGAAGTTGTCGGTCGTCTCAGCCGAACTTTTGTAAAACCGATACTCGAACTCGCCGTAAATGTCGGTGTCGAAAAACACTTGTACGTCTTGGTCACCTGCAGGTTATCCCCTTTAAGAACCAGTTTATCTAGCGTGCCCACCCGTCGCCATTTTTATTTCCTGCGATTAACCACACTAGCCACCCACCAACAGGAGGAGCTTTTTGTGCGGAACCCAGAACTATGGGTCTACCAGGACCGTGTTTCATGGAACCTAGCCCGCATCAACGCCGCAGATCTCGCTGTTGAATTTCCCCAAATGGCTTCGAAGTACACCGTAAACCGCTGAAACAGCTGGCGAGCAGTCCTTCACCCGTCTCCCACCGTTGGAATGAAACCCCGAAAATCATGGTTGTTGAAGCAGTCCCGAAGTTATTTTCCGCCGTGTAGCCCCGACGTTTCCGCCGTTAACCCAGGTACTCCGATGTTCACCCATCTTCATACCCGTCGAAGCCACTTAGCGAATCCCAAGTATCCTTGGCGATGCACCGCTCGCCGCGCCTCCATGTAACAATATCAAACCCTTTCGGAAGTCTACCGAATAGACTCCGAAATTCGCGGTGGAGTGGTGCACGTTCTCAACCTTTCACTCAAGTGATCTGCTGGAGCACCCACTGTCAAATTATAATATTGTGTAGGCTATAGTGGGGTAGCCTATATGGGGTACACATTTCTAGGGTTGCATATTTGTATCACTTCCATTCCTTAGTCAATCCATTCTCGTTCTACTTTTCTCATGGTATCGAGGAGGTTCCCCCTTAGGAACTGTGCCTAGGGCCCACCACATCGAGTTTCACTTTTTTTTTCTCCTGCCCGAAGCGCGCTCCGCCCGAGTCGCGCTCCGGGCTCTCACCTCGCCGAGCCGCCCTAGCGGCCCCTACGACCTAGCGACCCTATCGCCCTAGCGGCCCTATCGCCCTATCGCCCTAGCGGCCCCTCCCCCTAGCGGCCCCGCCGCCCGTCGATTCGGCCCCGCCGCCCTTTAGTGCGGCCCCGCCGCCCGTCTTAGCGGCCCCGCCGCCCTTCTCAGCGGGCCCCGCCCTACTTAGCGGCCCCCCCACCGCCCGTCGCTGCGGCCCCGCCCTTCTTAGCGGCCACGTCGCCCCGCATTGCGGACCCGCTGCCCGTCTCCGCGGCCCCGCCGCCCGTCTCCGCGGCCTTGCCACCCGTCGCTGCGGCCCCGCCCTTCTCGGCGGCCCCGTCGCCCCACATTGCGGCCTCGCCACCCATCTCAGCGGCCCCGCCGCCCTTAGCTGCAGCCCCGCTGCCTCCCTCGCTGCGGCCCCGCCGCCCTACTCAGCGGCCCCGCCACCCTTCTCCTCAGCGTCCCCGCTGCCCTACTTAGCGGCCCCGCCGCCCTTCTCCTCAACGGCCCCGCCGCCCTACTCAGCGGCCCCGCCGCCCTTCTCCTCAGCGGCCCCGCCGCCCTACTCAGCGGCCCCGCCGCCCTACTCAGCGGCCCCGCCGCCCTACTCAGCGGCCCTGCCGCCCTTTCGCAGCGGCCTCGCCGCCCTTCTCAGCGGCCCTGCCGCCCTACACCGCCCGCGCCGCCCGAGCCGCCCGAACCGCCCGAGCCTCCCGAGCCGCCCGACCTGCCCGAGCTGCCCGAGCCGCCCGAGCCGCCCGACTCTCCTGAGCCGCCCAAGCCGCCCGACCAGCCCGAGCCTCCCGAGCCGCCCGAGGTGCCCGAGCCACCCGAGCCGCCTGAGCCGCCCGAGCCGCCTGAGGAGCCGAGCCGCTGGTGCCACGGAACCGCAGCTGCTGCTGTGCCGTCCGAGCAGCCGTGTTGCCGTGCTGTTGTACCGCTGAGCTGCCCGACCCGCCCTGCCTGGTGAGAGTAGCGCTTCTGTCACTGCACTGCCCCTGTCCTACAGTTGGTACTGCTAGTCCACTGCAGTCATGGCTACCCCCAGTGACGCTAAGGGTCGAGCCATTGACTTTGAGGTTTGGGTGGATGACCTGCAGCTTTTCCTACAGTGCGATAGGGCAGACGGTCTTTCCCTCTTTGACCTCACCTCTGGTGCTTCCCCTGCCCCTGCTGCCGATGCCGACGCCACTGTTCGCTCCCAGTGGGCCACTCGCGATGCTGCTGCACGTCTTGCTGTGCGTCGCCACCTGCCTACCACTGAGCGCGCGCACTTTAGTCAGTACAAGAGTGCTCAGACCTTGTACGACGCTGTAGTTGCACGCTACTCTTCCCCTGCCACTGCTGCACTGAGCCGCCTCATGCTACCGTACCTCTTTCCTGACCTTGCTGCCTTTCCCATAGTCGCTGACCTCATTACGCACCTCCGCACTAGTGACACTCCCTACCGCGCCGCGCTTCCTGCTGAGTTCTGCGCCAAGAACCCCCCCCCCCCCATGTACATCACTCTCTATTATATAGTCACCCGCCTCCCTGACTCCCTTCGCGTAGTCAGGGACCACTTCCTCTCAGTCTGTCTCACCACTCTCACTGTTGACCTCCTAGAGAAGGCCCTCCTAGCAGCGGAGAAGAGCATAGTCGCTGTAGGAGCCTCTCGTGGTGACCCTCGCACCCCCATCCCCTTCCCCCCTGTTGCCCTCTGTCGCCTCTGCTGCTGCGGCCGACCTCGTTGGTCTTGAGTCGGTCGGTGCGGCGTCTGCCCCTAGCGGGAGACGCCGCTCTGGCAAGGGCAAGGGGGGCAAGGGCGCGGGTGGAGCTAGCGGGGGTGGTGGAGGTGGCAGTGGAGGCGGCGGAGGTTGTGGGGGTGGCGGTGGGAGTGGTGGCGGGGGTGGAGGTGGCGGTGGCAACAGCGGAGGCGAAGGCGGCGGTGGCGGTAGCGGTGGGAGCAGAGGCGGCGGTGGTGGCGGAGGTGGAGGCGGCGGTGGTGGAGGAGGTGGAGCTGGTCGGGGTGGTGCTTCGCAGCGGAGCGGCTCGGGGGGTGGTCAGCGCCAGCAGCAGCAGCAGCAGCATTCTCGGGACATCCCCCCTCCTCAGCAGCTCCGTGAGTGGTACACGCAGCGTCAGCGTGGTGGGGGTTTTGGCCCGTGCACCTACGTCTTTTGCTCTGGTGACCGCGCGGGTGAGCAGTGTGGGGGTGCTCACCCCACCCAGCGCTGCTTTGGCCGCCTGACGGACGCTTGGCGTCAGCAGTTCCCGGAGGCTAGTGAGATCCCCCGCTGGGGAGAGCTGTCTAGGGCAGGCGTAGCTATCTTTGATCTTGACTTTGATGCTATCCTTGCGGCCATGTATGCTGTGACTATTAGTGATGCGGGTGACTGTTACCGGTGTTTCCCGCCCGACCCGGGCATTGGTACTGCTGCTCTAGGTGCTGGTGAGGCTGCTGCTCTAGGTGCCAGTGCGTCCGCGCCCTCAGGTGCTGGTGAGGCTGCTGCTCTAGGTGCCAGTGCGTCCGCGCCCTCAGGTGCTGGTGAGTCTGCGCTCTCAGGTACCACGTCGGCTTCGGCCTCCCTCACCTTCACAATTGACTCGGGGGCTTCTCGCTCCTTCTTTCGAGACCGCACCACACTCATGCCACTTGGTCGGCCAGTTGCAGTCTCCCTGGCTGACCCCTCTGGGGGTCCTGTCCTCTCTCACTTCTCCACTGTCCTCCCGTGTCCGGCTGCCCCCTCTGGCACCTTGTCTGGTCTTTACCTCCCCTCGTTCTCTACAAACTTAGTGAGTGGTGCTGACCTCCAGGATACAGGGGTTCACCAGTTCACTCCTGCGAGTCAGCGGGTGACCCACTGCACGGACGCTCGGACAGGCCGACACCTGGCCACGTTTACACGTCGGCCGGGGTCGAGCCTGTACACACTGACCACTGCGTCTCCTCCAGTCACTGCGTCTGGTCAGGTTGCTGCGTCGGGTCAGGTGTTTGCTGCAGCGTCCAGGTCTGGTCCTGAGTCTGCACCCTGCTCGTGTCGCCTCCTATCTCACGAGACCCTCCTCTGGCACCACCGTCTTGGTCACCCCTCCCTGCCTCGTCTCCGAGGCATGGCTTCCCGTGTCCTTGTCTCTGGTCTTCCCCAGTCCCTCCCTCCCCTTCCTCCGGGGCCTGGTCCTTCCTGTGTCCCCTGTGTCGAGGGGCGGCTCCGGGCTGCCCCTCACTCCTCTCAGTTTCCCCTTATAGAGGCCCCGCTGCAGACGCTTCACCTGGACGTGTGGGGCCCAACAC